CAAAGTATATGTGTGAATATACACGCGAACAAAACTCAAAATCTGGAGTGAGTGAGAATGATGGAAAACCATAGTGATAATGGCATGTGAAGGGGTCAACTTAAAACAGGAAAGTGAGAGAATGGTCTGAATCTACACACACACACGTTAGTGCTTTCTTACGATTGGTAGAAGCCTTGCTTGTGACACCCACCCATTTACCTTTTTGATTACATTAAGTTCTTCGGTATTTAATTTCATTTCTCGATTGATTTCCTTTACACAGTAGTACCCGACTTGGTAAAAAAATTGGAGAATTGGAATCATACTCATTCATATTTATGACGTTCATTAAAGTTAATGAAAGTATATATATAAATAATTAAGACTAATTAATATGGATCATTCTCGTAATTGAGTTTGATAGACAGATAGATGCAGATCAACAATATAATATTTGCTTGAGCTTCGTAGTCTGACAAGTGATGCCATTTATGTCATCACCAGTGGTACTGCAAATACTAAAGTCAGCTTGTGTGCAAGTGTTTACATATATATAAAGTTTACTTACCCTCTTTCTCTTTCGGAACAGTTTCACTTAGCCCCTCCTAACCCAACTTAATTTTAGTTTACCCCCTAAAACTTTGAAATCTCATTGCACATATGGGGATTAAAATAAAATTTAAAAGTTGACTCAAATGGCTTTATTATCTCTAGTGAAATGAATAACTGATATATAAAAAATAAACAAGTAACATATGAAAAACAAACAAATGATGTGGGTGGAATATAACTCTCATTAACAACACAACATCAATATGAATATAAATAAAAAAAGCTAGGCACATAAACAATTCGTGTAGCAAAAATGAACAATTAACCTAGGTGAAATAAAAGTTATAAATTTATAATAGTATTACACTGTTAGTAAAAGTTATAAATTTCACTTACATCGATAGTTGTTCATTTTTCATACATCGGTTATTCATCCATCTTACTTCATCAGAGGCAATAAGATTATTTAAGTTGTCATTTTAATTTTATTTCAATCCCTCACATGTACAGTGAAATTTTTAAAGTTTTAAATGGTTGATTGAAATTAAGTCGGGTGAGGAGGCTGACTGAATCTCTTTTCTTTTACACTTCCTTTCAAGCATCATGTCCACCACACACGCACCTATTAGTCCTTGGACCTATTGTAATAAGGAAAATTGAAGGGTATACATAAAGTTACATTATTATAAAGTAGCGATGATATTAATGGCAATTATAACAAACTACAGAAGATCAAAACAAAGATGTTGAATTTGCCAGAGAACAGTAAATATAGGCATTAACTCATAAATTAGGGTTCGTACGCATATATAGAAAATAATTCATCAAGGCTCTTTACGGATCTTTCATTTGTGAATGCATGCCGACCTGCACATAAACAAAGCCAGTGTATACATAGTGCATGCATATATAGCATTCCCAAAGCACAGTACGTAGAAGATTCACTTTTTTATTAAAATTACAGTTTAATTTTTACTTGTTCATGAGTAAATTAAATTAAAGCATGCATACATGCGTGGTAATTAATGAGTTGTTAAAAAAAATTCTTATTAATTACTCAGTGAATTAAGGTTGGGATTTTCAACTCTTGCGTTTCAGAAAGTGAAGTCTATATATGTAGCTATCAGATCAAGGATCAATCATCCCTATATGGCATTGTTTAGTAATCAATCTATGTTTGACTGGCACGCCTTTTTTCTCCCCCTGGTACACACACATATATACCAGTAGAGGGCAAATATCTTCCAAACAAGTTGCTTTCCAAAAAATTTGAGGTGATTAGCCTGCCGGCCCCTACTCTATCTCAATCCAGTGAACATTCTAATAAATTATAAGCACTCAAAGCACCAACTATTTCATTAATCATAAGCAAACTAGATCATGATTCATGAACCCATATTAATCTGCATAAAGTCTGAGATGAGTTGTATAGTTTTTAATGTGAGTTCCTGAACGTATGATTATGTTTAAAGACCAAAGTTATCGTCATGCGTTTTAGATAAATTTATTATTATCACACACTCACACAATTAACAACTTAGCTTCAAATCAATAATCTTCAATTTTTCTTATCAAGGTTTGAACGAGCCTAGCCACTGTCAATTGAAAAGATAACTACCAGACGAGGCCATTTTTGTATAACTCAAAAAGTCTTTGATTGAACGTGATGGGAGTGAGTGGGGGATCAATAACTATGAAAACGACACGCCACTAAAAAAACTTGCATATGAAGTCGACATTTCAGCGAGAAAGTCCTTAATGTGATATCTGGAAAATGATTAATAGCCCATACAGCTTGAGGGATGAAAGGAACGTGACCTTTAATTCGGACATGTAGGGGCCAACGCTTCAATTTTGGAACGTAACAAGCAGAAGCTACATATGTGACCTACTTATTTAAAGTCGCATACATATAAGGAGCACAATTATGATTTTGTACATCAGATGCTAACTAGGACATTTATAGAGCTCTGCCTAGCTCGTAATCATTTATTGGTAACAGTGTTTATCGCGAAGTGACAGTCTATATATATATATATATATTGGTTTATTTTCTCTGAATTAACCACAATTGATGAACACGTCCAACCAAATGTTAGTCTACGTGTGTAGCTATATACGGCTATTTTTAACTTGACGGCATCGGTTATCCCCCAAACTACATAAATATATATTCTTGAACTTTGAACAAGATATAAAAACCATTGGTTTAGATGCCTGATTTCAGATAAGAATTGCATCCTTGGTGTGGCATCATACCTGGGAAGGAATTAGAATTCAATTCTCTATAGTAATCGACTCTGCTATAGCTATAGATGTGCTATATATCCTATCGAGTACTGTAAAAAGTTTAATCCACTACTGTACTGTATGCTATAGGAGCCATATCACTGTTGGAGTTTTTCAAGAGTTTATCATGTCCACGAAGTTGAAGCATATTATAAGGCCATAAGTACTTACATATGAACTCCACTATTAGTGTATGTGCATGGGTGTCGGAGAAATAGAAACTCCAACTTTCTCAGCATAATGTTAAAAACTATAGGATGCCAAATGAACAAACTTATGTATGTTTTTTTTTTTTTTTGGATTCGAAAAGTAGAAATTCTGATGAGGCTTCTCGTTTGATCGTAATTATCAAGGAATTGAGGCGCTTTTACACTTTTTTCCTCTTGTGGGGCTTTTATCATAAAATTCCGATAACATTTCAGGTTCTTTTTAAAAGTAGGGGAACTTCCAACCGTTTCCAAAGATTTTAAGTATACAAAGTCTTAATTAAACGCAACAAGTTCTCATCCAGTTAAAAAATTCCATAGGCTATATATGGTGTAACATCATCTTCTTTTTCTTATATTCCATTTTAATCTCTGACCAAGTTTTCTTTTATTTTAACTATTCAGCAATAATGAAAAATCACCCCCTCTAATTTCATCTAATTCCTACATATGTACTTGATCTAAATAAAAACAAATGAGCCTTGATAATATTTTCTTTTAAATGAAAAACTTCATTTTTTTCCGGCTCCCTGGTATTATTACTGATGATCTATGTAGGTTTAATTTGTTCCATTGTGATCATTAACCTTGCCTAGTGGATTAGTTTTGTTTGTGGTTGTGAATGGTTTAATTTAAATCTGCTATGATCCATGTTACTCTGAGAGAAACAATGAAACTTTTAATTCATTAAATTTGTTTTAATTATCAATTTAGTTCCTAAAATTTAATCCTTATCAATAAGGTCCTTAAGTTTTATAATCACACATAATTAGTCTTTATAGTGTTTTTCCCTTTCAAACCATAAGGATTGATTGTGTGTAGTTATGACATTCATGGGACTACTTGATTGATAAAAATTAAATTATAAGAATTAAATTAATAATTTAAAAATTTTAAAGGATTAAAAGTTTATTATCTCTGCTTTGAATTATTGACTTTAGAAGTTTCTTCTTCTTCTTATAGGAGAGGTCTTTGGAGTTGCAATTAGGCATGTATCGTTGGCGTTAAAGGGGTTCAACTCGATCGAGCAAGTCTTTAAACTATCATCCCTATCATCACTTTCATCAATCATAGTAAATAGGGAACTGGCCAATGACTTTTAATCGACATGGTGTCGACACTCGTCCTGTAATAAAGAGCACGTGTGTTCGAGCCCCAGAGTGTTGGCATTTGTAGTGGGTGCGTGTTTTCTTCTTATAGGGAAGGAGTGCAAATATAGGCGGGTGAACGGGTATTATTGGATAATTGTCTCCTACCAAAAAGAACAAGGCATCAGCTTTTGTTAACTTAGACTTGTCTTGATTAATGCAGTTCGGTTTTTTTGATGCTTTATTATTTTTGATAAGCTGTTGTTTTGTGCTACTTCTTGTTTAAATTTGTGTTTGTAATTAATCTTTATTTGCTTGTAACGAAATACATCTTCTGGTTTAAAAAAAAAAATTCTCATGAAAGGAAGAACCATCTTTAAGATATAAAATCATGTTTTCTTTAAAGAAAAAAGATACTAACGAACGATGACACCGTTCATTGTTTCTCTCACTTTTTCCTTCCTTTTCTCTTTTACTCCTGTTGAAATTACCTAGCAGGATCTTATACAATGAAGTCTACAGATGATGCATGGGAAAAATCACTCAAACTTTTAAACCCTAGCTAGGTATAGTAGGTACTCATATCTATAAACAATAATGGTGCTAGAATATTTGAGAACCAGAGAGCAACTTTGATTGATCGCTTTCAATAATCATCACGACGAGTGAATCGCATACAATGACTCCAAATGTAAAGAGATCTATTAATTGTGACCTATAAGCTATACATGTAATTCATCGGAATATTTCTGTCAATTCAAACATCATCAAAGTCATCCTGTCACGTATATATTTTGAACTTTAAGTCAAATTAAGTATCCAGTCAAAGTATAGCTAGCTTGGCCCATTAGAATTCCTTAACAAATTAAGATGCCAACAGGGATCATTTGAAGTAAAATTATATTATCATTAAATAATTAATGTACAGCAGCTAAGTTACACCGCCATGCAATTAAAGTTTCATCTACGTGCTTAATTATCAAAATTAAACGCTAATAATTAATTAGTGAACCCTCTTCTATTCTCTATAGCCCACTTATAATTTATCTTCTCTTTTACTCGAACTAGCTTCATATCGATGCTCTACATATCGTCAGGCGAAGAATGAGACAAATACACCAAACTCGCCATTGCCTCTTGCAGCCAATCTTCCTCCTCCTCATCGTTCCTTATCTGCAAATTATAGAATATCATTCAAACAATAAGTTTCTATATTACTTTGCATTTACCTCATAAATAAGATGTCTGAGTAATATTGTTTATACACGCACTCACACCGCATAAGTTATTAATGAAAATTGATGACCTGAAATTGGATGGAATCATCACCACCGTACAGGTCCTGTTTGTGAGTAATATTCTCATTCTTCTTCATGGAGATTTCATCCTCACAGAGGTCGTTGTTTCTGGCAAACCTTCCTCTAACTCTGACTCTCCGATCAGCTAGAGTTTTCCGACATGCATACTGCATGTAATCATATTATAGAATATTATTAATTACAAGTATATATATGGATATTTGAGAGTGAAGCTTGAGAGTCCAGAGATGAGAAATTGAGACCTTGATCGTTTTGTTGAAGTTTCTTTGGTTTCTTTTCTTCAAATATCGCAGAATTCTTTCCTTCCTTTCTTCTTCTGAGTATCGTCCTACCTTCATGTTTGGTTCCTCAACTGCTGCCATTTGATTTCCTTGATATGATCCCTATATATATATATACACACACATATGACGGATCATTTCATTTTTCAGATCAAATCAATTCAATTACTCTAATAACGATAAGAAGCGATGGTATTGCATGTGATAATTTTCAGTTCTTCAGTAATTTCTCTTCCTTTCCAGAGAAGCGACAACAGAATAAAGTCAATTTAACTGTAAGATGACATGATTAGTTCATCATATATATGCTAACAAAATCAAAGCTAGTTGCCTAATTAATCATGAGTTGAAGATGAACATAAGATTAAGCACGTACCCACTTCTCAGTGGCAGAATTAGGATAAGAAGGTGGCTTAATATCCTCCACAAACCCACAACATTCTTCAACGAAATCGCCCAGATGATGTGGTGGTTGGTATCCGCCGCCGTTCAGACCCTGAAAACCACCGTCGACGGTGCCGTAAATCACTGGAATGGCCAACTCAGGTAAGCTCCCCCCCACCTGATCGGAAAACGTAGGAAACCAAGACGAAGCCATAGTATCACAATCCAATACTGAAGAAACATGATCGATCAGTGCACCACTGGGAATATGGTTGAAGCTATCGTGGACACCACACATTCTGTTCTCTATAACTGAGAAGTTATTAACGTTATTGCCATTAATGGAAGAACCTTGGGTTTGAAACTCCGTGAAATCGGGGAATATTGAGTAGTTTGAATAGAATTGAGGAAAAGCAGCCATGGAAGGAGACAGAGGCATGAGAAAATATCTAAATGGCTTCTATGGGTTAATTTGTTAGCCTTTGTTTAGTGCGACGCTTTCAATATATAGCGAAATTGAGGTAGTACATTGGGTTGATTAGGCCAAGTTGTTGAGGAGGAAGCACGTGACCAAGTGGCTGCACAAACATAGCTAATTGGACAGCTTGGATACATAATGACTTTAACTGTTTAAGTTTTATTTTGTGCTAACTCTTACTCTATTTTTGGATTGTGTGAAAAGCAATTTGGACTTTTTGGACACACGATAAACTTAATCATCTCTTTTTTTAGATATTCTTTTGCATATTACAGTAAGTTGTTGCCACTGATAACTTCGATTGTAATATCTTGAATTGAGTTAAACAAAATCAACTTAATTTCATTTTAATTGCTAACAAAGAGGTAGTTTATTTAAACTAGTATTTAGCTCAATATACGGTCATGATTTCATCTGAATATTATATTGATAGAAATTGTATTAAATTTGAATTAAGATTTACTTTATAAGATTTGATTCAGCATCTAGGGCTTAATTTATTTAATTTAGCATTTAGATTTTATTTATTTTTAATAAAATAAGATATCTAGGTTATCTTGTTATTTTTTAAGTATTATCAAATAAAAAAAATGATCTTATCGTACTCTAGTAATTCTAGGTAGATTTATATTATTATTTTATTATTCTTTATTAATTTTTAGAACTCTATAAATAGAATTAGGGTTTCATTAATAAATAGTTTTGAATATGAATAAGAATTATATAATTTTTTCACCCTTATCTCCTTTCCTTCTTTGCTCGACATCATATATTAAATTATTATTTTCTTTTCATATTTTGAAGGCAGAGATAGGAATCAAACTTTTGGGTTGCGTTTAGATTAGTGGATTTGGGATGGAAATTTAAATTTAAAATCTCACATTTAAAATTCATATATTCTAAATTCTCTATTTGAATGATATAAAAAATTTTAAATTATAATATTAAAATTTTTTATTTGAATCTTAAACATAATTTCAAATTTTAAATTCTATATTTAAATTTAAAAGCAACTCAAATGATGTCGGTAGTTCGGTTTTAGTCAAAGTTGACAGTCCTATCCAAATTAGGGTGGCTGGATGAGGTCAATGATGCAATGAAAGTCAGCCATCTAATTCCAATTGTGCACCAACGATTTGGTCTTAGCCAATGCTGGCAATTCAATCTCGATCAAAGTTGGTTGTCCAACCCCTCTCAACATTGGTGGTCTCATCTTGGTTGGCATCGGCATTCAAATCTTGATCAATGTCAATCGTTTGATCCCAATCAAAGTCAGTTGTCTGATCCTAGCCAAAATTGGCCATCCAACCTCATTCCACACTTGCATTATCATCCTTATTGAAATTGGTTGTTCGGTCTCAGTCAGCATCAACGATCTAGTCCCTATCGACATTGGTGGTTTGGTCTCAGTGGAAGTCAGTTGGAGGCAACAACATTGAAGTTGAGAAGGTAGCGAAGTTAACAAACTAATGTAAAGGAAGAGATGGGCTTCTATAGAAATTTGAGATAATAGAGATTTAAAAAGGATTTAAAATTATAAAGGGATGAGGTAAGATTTGGATTTGGGTCAAATCCAAATTCACATATTTTTAATTACCCAAACAATAAATTTGACTTAAATTTAAATACAAATCTACATGCATCCAAACATAACATTAAGTTTCCTAGAAATTTGGTACTAGAGAGGTGTCACTTTATCTATGTTCTGTATATGTTGATATAATAATAATTTTATTAATACACACACAATTTCATCATTTGTAAATTAGAATATATATTTTTCAGTCATATTTGTTATTCATAAAATACAAGTCAAGTGGTTAAAATTGTGAAAGGTATCATGAGTTACATGTGATCAGAAAGTATTGGATAATCTTAAAGACAAGTTTTGTCAAATTATTATAAGATCAATAATGATGCTATATGATGGTAAATGTTAAACATTAAAATGATTACATGAACTAAAAATTAGGGCTATAAAGATGACAATATTGAGATGAATGTGTGATCATATACATGAGAGTGTTGGCATGCCATCTATTGAAGAGAAGATGATGGAGAATCATTTCAGGTAGTTTATACATGTATAAAAAAGGGTCAGAATTAAAAGGCAATAACAAGAAAGGTTGAATGAATGATTTTGACTCTTGTAAAGAAAGACAGAGAAAGATCAAAAAGAACATTTAAAAAAATTATTGAATATAATGAGACATTCTAATAAACAATATATATTTACATAATTGGCTATTGATAGAACTCAATGATATAATGTGATCTTATAGCTAACTTCACGTGGTAGGATAAAATTATTATCAAATCAATTAGAATAAGGTTTTGTACTTATAATTTTTATTATTATAATTATTATTTTGTTTATCGATGGGGGGCAAAAGCAAGAAAGGGGGAGAGGGCGAGCTGGGAAATTAGTGCGTATTTGAGGGTTATGAAAAATTTAAAGATCACTAGTGCCTTAATTATTTTCCTATTAATTAATCAATTATCAAAATTTGAAAAGAATGCTTAATATGGCTCATAAAAAGAGACATTTTTGCATAATTAGCATGATACCATTTATTTGATTAATAATAATTAGAATGCGGCCATTAATGCACCTTTGCCTTTATTTGTCATAATTACATTACACATCAATTCAATCCCAATGACCCTCCAAAAATTTGTGGACCAATTCTATTTTATTTATAAAAAATACAGCTTCGTATAATTTTTTATATAATCTCTCCTTTAAAAAGGATATATACACGTACAGGAAAATGATGTTACAATCAAGCCTTAAAGTCAAAATTAAATCTTGTCAAAAGTTAAAACTTGAAAAGAAAAAATACACTCCTTTAATTAAGAACATTGAATGAACCGGGAATTTTTTGTTTTTTTGTTTCAAAGAACAAACACAACAAGACCTGAAAAAGTATATGGTATAGCGGGGTCATGTGCATACTGTATATATATTCTTAATAATGATATAGCTTGTAAGTGTTGCAAGGCTTTGTATCCATAAATAAATAAATACTTTAAAAAGATAAAACCTAGCTACTTGTAGCCTCAGAATCAAACACATGCGATTGTTATATTTTTGGTTAGCAAATCAAGTACAATATCTACCCCATATTACCCATAAAGTTTTCGTCAAATCATATACTTGCTCTTTTTATATATACATATATATTACCCACCATTAATATCCAAACAAACAAGTACATTGAACTTGAAGTTTATTTTAATAAAAAGAAAAGAAAGTTTTAGTCTTTGGCTAAACTATTAGATGGACGCTTGGTTCATACTTATTTTATGGGACATATTCATATTGTTGTTTTGCATGTGCATGCTTTAACATCATGTGAATTCTATTGATCATTGATATTTGATTTTGATTAATTACTTTTTTATTAGGAGATTTTAATTAATTACTTTCACCTTAAACTCAAATATTATGAGATTTACATTACATCATAAAAAAATTATATTTCAATACTCATTTTTTAAAAAAAATGAAAATATTTTTATTCAATTATATGATATTCAATATTACTAGCCTAATTTGACCCAAATATATATATATATATATATATATTATTAGCCTAAAGCCTTGTTAGGCCTAAAACCAATTGGAGATAACTCATTTGATGTTATTTTTTCCATTTACAAAGTTCGAACCAATTGATCTTGAGGGGAATAGAGTTGCTTCCATTAACCTAGTAGTTCCATGAGTAGGTTGTAATTATTTAAAAATAAATAAAATTATCACTAAGGTATTGAATATTTTGAGAATAACTAATTAAAGTTAACATGGATGATAAATGTTCTCGTTATTTAAGCAAGTGGTTGGGGATTCCAATCTTAATCCTTATATATATAACAATTCAGTTGAAAAAGTTCTACATATTGCTCTCAGTACTTTAAGAAAGATATTATTTATTATCTGTGAAACCTACTTCTTATACTTATTAAATATTTTGAGAATAATAATTTTCTTAAAATTTATTAATAGCCTTCTTAGAACCTAGTATAACTCTACGAAGCTTTGTAATTGTCAACACTCAGTTGTAAAAACATTTATAATTTCAAGGATATTTTTATCTAAAATAAATTAATATCTAGATGTGAAAATACAATTTTCGCTACATTATATGTAGATTGCCACATATGTATTTTCATCACATCTTGTACATAATAAGGACAAAAAATAAAGTCGAATACGGTGTGAATCTGTATAGTAATGTTATTCGCAATTCTTTTTGACTAATAATATGCAAAAGTGGAGGTGGTATAATATAAATAATAATTAGTTAGCTAGCTAGCTATATATGAAGAATATATTTACATATAATGGAAAAAGCATCTATAACAGAATAATGTCATGTATTTGTTTGCCCATATAATGACTAGCTGATTGATTGAAAATTATGAATCAAAATCTTTAATTGTATCTTTCAAGGTGCGTTTTCCAATTTGCATATCTTTCTTTCAACAACACAAATCATTCACCTTATGCTTTTGCTTTTATTTTCTTCTTTAATTAATTTCAAATACTAATTAAAAATTTTTAAATTTTATGGAGTAAAACTGTTACATGTACATGGTTAATTCTAAGGGAATTGCATAAAACTAATAAAGGTTTAAGAGATGTATTGGCACTAATATTTAAGAGATGTACAGGCTAATCCATTGAAAAAAAAAAAATCATGTAGTCATAGTATTCAAATTCAAATTATCAAAATTTAAAATAAAGGATTATTTTACATCACTTAAAATTTTCCTAGAAAAATAAGTACTTAAATTTGATTAATCCCAAACATTAATAAAATTGGTGATATTTTAAAAGTAAGTGAAAAAAAGAATCTTTTAATTAATGTTTTACTCTGTCTTGAAGTCTGGGAGCAGACTAGATCTCTCATCTGTATTAATTACTAAAAATAATAATGGGATCATTAATTGTTCCCCCAGGCAGGTTCATCCTGGTAGATAATAATAACATCGAAAAAGTCACAATAAAGACTAAATTAATTTATTGTGAAAAATAATTTAAAGGAAGCAAGATAAAGGGAATCAGGTTCAAAATGAACAAAGGTATATATTATATAGAATGCAACATATGCATATGCATGATTGATCTTCTGTTATCTGAAAAGATTCTGCCTCACCAACTAATACTCACAGCCAACATCAACATGGTCACCCTCATTTTTAGACAAATTAACAATTCCCAAACACCACCTTATCAGTTATATGTACTTTAATATTTTCACACCCCATTTAGTATCATCAATTCACTCAAATACAACATATATAATATAAAATTTATCACAGGATGTAATATTTAAGTAAAAAAATGTGTAACTCTAACTATTTATTTATTAATACTCCCTCCGCCCTAATTCATAAGACAATTTTAAATAAAATTACACATATTAATAAAGTTTATTAAACACACTTTATAACTTTATTTTTTTCAAAATAAAAATATTAACTTTTAAAATTGTCCTTTGTTTAGTATTCAATTTGTGAAAGATTATTAAAGAGAGAATATAATGAAAGATAATATTGGAAATATATTTCCAATGAAACTTTATTTTTGTCAATTTATTTTATATTTTGTGATTTCAAAACATCTCTATGGTTATCTTATAATTTAGGGAAGAATTTGTAATAAATAGTATGACTTATTCTTTAACTTTTATATTCCTCTAATATTTTATGTAAGTCATATTCTATAAAAAATTTCGTGATCCAAAATATACTATGCCTCTCTGGTCCATGTTATAAGAAACCTTTATAACCACATTATTAGAATTATAAAAAAGCAATTAAGTTATTAATTTTATCTGAAAATGAAATAAATCCTGAACCGCGTCAAGTAACTTATATAATAAAGATAATCCATCTCTCCTATAATAAAAGACCGGAGTGATAATTCACCATAGTTCAGGGAGCATTAATTATTCCATCCCGAAAACGCCCTTCTTGTCAATTTCCAACCAGGCAATTGAGAGAATATATGTTTTTTCATATTGACAGCATTTATCAAGGATAAAGATGGAAACCAAGATAAATTTTAAACAATTTTAATGATGTAATTATTTTTCAATAATTACGATATAACAGTTAAAAGTAACTTACATTAATGCATGATGAAACATGTCTCACTTTTTTTTTTTGTCAAATTATTGGATGAATCGTGTAATTTTCTTTTTGTAAAAGGATAAACTCGGGGGAGAAAAATGAGGAGCGAGGAAGGTAATGGGGACAGAGAAAAGTAAGAGAAAGAGAAAGCAAGAAGTTCGTGACAGTACGTAGTATCAGGTGCTTCTGCTTCTTTCTTTCTCTTTCCAATTTGCATCCCACAATCACTTACTCCTTTCAATTAATTCTTTTTTTTTTAATTATTATTATTATTAGTATTATTTCTCGTTTCCCACTTGCTTCTGTTCCACCTTTGGTAACAAATATCACTATGCTCAACTTTCACTATTTCAATTTACGTTCAGATTCATTCAGCTTCATCTTTTCTGATTCATCCTATATCTTATCTTAATGCATAACTATTTGGATACCTAATTAATTCATATGTTCCCCATCAAACAAAACAAATGAATCTACAAAATCATTTTTATGCGCTGCAAAAAAATTAATCTTTAAGATACTGCGTGTCCAGATAATTAAATACCACACAGATAAACACACAGATAAACTGACACACACACAGAGTCTAACTAAGAATTTTGGCATGAAGTTTATAATCATGTTCTTAATGATCTTGTACTTGCTTCAAAACCACGCAATGATGTTGATGTGATGTTAGATTTAAAAGATGATAATTTGCTTTTACTGATAACTGAAAGACATACCGATTACCAATAATCCAGCAGACCAAACCACCTGTGTCAAAACTAAGGCTAGACAAAGGAACAATGACAGGAGGAAAATGATAGTTAAGGATTTAAACTTGATAAGAAAAAATAGATGAAAAATACAACTATTAATTCCTATAATTTTAATGTGTTTTGATATAAATCTTGTATTGCTTCAAGCCCGTTTAATTTATCCCATTTGCAATGTTAGTGCCTCCACTTTAGAATATGCCCAAAAAAATGAGTAATACTAACAACGTTAAATACACTAACATATGACTAATATCATTAATTAATCTTTGTGCTGAGGTAAAATTATGATCTAACAAATTAAAACATGACACGAAACAGAATGGACCAATAGTTATTTTTCCGAAAATTATATTAAAAACTTTGGAAAATTTCAACTGCCCCTCAAAATTAAAAGTGATTATCAAGTTTTAGAAATGTGTTATAAAGCTCTAGAAAAACTACAATTACAATTTTAAATAACTTTGACTATAGTTTACATAGCGTGTGAAAATAATGTAAACTCTAACAATAGCCTTAAGATCCTTAAGAGTAGAAACAATTTTTAGTACCGTTCAATATAATGCTTGTCCAGTTTAGATCCTTGAATGAAAATTTTCCACAATGATAAGATGTAGGATTGACCAAAACTTGTGGAGAAAAAGGAAACCACAACTAGAATTAGGTGACAAATAATTCAAATATCAATGCGTATCTTTTCCCAAGTGGGTGAGGAGCCAGCAAGGTCATGTTGGTGCAGTGGTGGATGTTGCACTTAAGTGAATCTAAAGCTGATTTTAGAGCATAAGATCACTACGGCACCTTTTCCTGTTTTCCATCATTTTTCCAATCCCAATATTATTCTGTTCCATGGTACAACACTTTCTTTCTAAGCTGCCTCTCTCTCTCTAACCCCAGATCCATTTTCTCAAAGATTTGTCATTCTTTTCATTTACAGGATCAACTTTCTCAGGCGACTCAGAAAAGGCATGCACCCATTGTCTAAACGCTATCAGACTACTTTTATTCTTCCCGCTTTTTGAACCATACCTGAGAAGATTAGTTCAGCTGAAACAACCCCAACTATCCACAGACCACAAATATTGATTCAACATGCCTTTACAAGCAAATCAAATTGAGCGTTGCAATGTTTTCTGTACCATTGGAACCTACTTATAAAAATAATTTCACTTCATGTTTTAAGTTTTACTGATGGGTAGCCAGGAGGGAAGACTATAACTGGTTTGATTATCTCCTTGTAACTTCAATTCCACCTCTTCAAATCTAAGATTTTTTACCTTTAAACTACACTTGGGGTAAAAGAAACCACACTTCGTTAGATTCTTGGATTCAATATATAAAAGATAATACATCAAGCACTCATTAATATCTTGTAACCATGTCCTAGAAAGATATTACCATAAAATGTGCATGACATGTTAAAGTCTAGTTGTCCTTAGTTTGGTCAGCCTATTTTTCAAAGACAGTGGAACTTCCGGTCATGGCAACTACGGAATCCAAAGCCCAAGATCATCAATATTTACACCTGAATCTTGTAGGCAGTGCAATATTACTGCACATTCAGATTTAGCCATGTTAAATAGACAACAAGACTCTTGTGAATTGCCCATCAAATAGAAGGAAAAGAAAGTTTCCAGATTGAACCAAGAGAATTTCCCTTCACGCCGATGTTGAAGATATCAAAATTTTGCAAAAGTCAAATAGCAGTTTAGCCTGCTGAGCAATGAGCATGTCAAACAGCAGATGATATATCTACATAGAATTCAACAGGAGCAATCAACAATGAAGCCTAGACGAATGAAACATGCAGTCATCGCAAATTTATGACTCAGTTCAATGCTATCTTGGATTCTGATCACAGTAAGAAACAAGTCATAGAACATCCACTTGAAAGTCAAGTTTGATCCATGAGCTGCAAAATAAATTGTCAGTTAAATAGAAATTAATCACTGCAGTTCAAGGTTGGGCAATTATCCAGAGACCTTGGCATTGCCAATTACTAATTGGGAAAATAATATGACAATAAACCATAACTAAATACAAATGAGCATGGTTATATCCGTGGAAATATTTGGTTTATCCCTTTGAATGTGTCTTTTTTCAGTAATTGGAATATTGAACGTGAGCTATTCACATTACTCTTAAAAATGGGCTTTTAAATCTTGGCCCCAAACCAAATATAAAAGGCTTAACATTGTCCCATGCATCTTTTGCTATTTGAGATTTCTCCAAGTGTTTATATGAATTTTATACGCTCCATTTTTTATTGTGAACAATTTATCTTCCAAAATTCACAAACATCAAAGGCATCTGTTAAAAGCACAAGAATAAAATTCCAAGAATGGATTTGTCAGGGTCGATGCTCTTATTACTTAAGTACCTCATCAGAAATGCAGATTCATTATATGAGATAAAATCTCTATCACCATGGTCCAAGTATTAATGGGAACACATAACTCCCATATAGGCAATAAATGTGCACCAGTAATGTACAAAAATGCTACTCACAAAACCTCAATGCAAATTTGCACGCACAGTTATTTTAATATATAAATTAGGATCGTTGCATGAAACCTCATGGTAATAGGCTGCAAATGAGCCCACAAAATAAAAAGAAAAGAAATCTAATAAAGTGATGCCAAAGAAAAAGAGACACAAAAGGCTAGCCTAATTTGCATACAGTGCAAGACTCTGTCTATGTGCATGCAAGTGCGAGCTGTGTGTCTTGTGTGAGTGTGAAAGAGAGAGAAGATGGTGCTTAAGGGGCATACCAACTTGAATATATATATATATATATACCCAGCCAATAATACTTTCAGTGCTAGTGTGCATTGCGACTGAGCAATCCTTGGAAAGATAGGAAAAGATCTTTGTTGTCCGTCCCAAATATCTCTTCTGCTTTTCTTAAAGTTTCCTACAAGAGGAAAGAACAAGTTGTTAACAATTAAATAACAGAACCCCGTATCCACTATTGACTAAAAGGGGGAACAATGTAATACGACCCAGCACTGCATATAGTATTTCAAGACTGAAACAAATATTTACCTCTCGTGTTTGCTTCTGAGCATTCAATTCCTTAATGTTAGCCAGAAATGCACTAAACTGCTCATAGGAAAGACGACTCCTGGCAAAGATATATGAAAACTATTCAAAAATCTTTTAAGAGAATATTAGAAAAATAATGATTTTACTAGAAGGAATGAGGATGTCACCTGGCTTGACGGAAAAACTCCTTTCCATCAATTCTTGGAGTACGGCCTAGACATGTTTTTAGTGTAAATCATCGGAGATAGACAAAATTAAACATTAAGCAGTTCATTAATGAAACTGATAAAAGAGTCAATTTAACACCCCAGAAAAAAGGATGTTTCCTTTTCCAAGTCGATGAGAGTAGAGATTATCTTTGAATGCCATTTTAAACTCTGAGGAAAGAAATGAACCAAGCTCTCCCTATATCAGACCTATTCAATTACTTATTACTATCACAGGGCATTGTTTTAGGATATAAACACAGTAATACATGAAGTTTCTTGTCTTTGTTGTCTAACCAGTCAATCAATGTCAACTCCCTTTTACTTTTCAACTGACAACCTCAATTATCAAACAGTAAATCTAACAAGTACTTCCAGAAGGGTGATAAAATCCATTATACAGGCCGAAGTTTAGTGTTCTATATGTGTGAAATAACAGATTCCTGCTTCCATTTAACAGCCATCTCTTCACTCGTTGACAGAAACAGCATTAAAAAAGCATCTAATTTTTTTTTTTTTTTAACCAAGATTATCATGATGGAGAGGGGGAAAGTCCTAATATTGGAATTGCAATAAATATTCCAAACCTGAAAGAGATCTCGCACGAGGAGGAGAGCTTGCTGCAGACGACTGCTGACTTGATGGATACCAAGAAGATAGTGATTGCCGTCCTTCATATGGGAGTTTAGTGGGAGAAGTAGCACCAGAAGTTTTCTTAGGAGATACAACTGCAGAATATCCTCTCGGAGATCCAGCTGTTGAGATCACCTTTGGAGTTCCTTGTGGAGTAAGACGTGGTGTGATATAAGGAGTAATAGAAAATCTATTCCCAGCATATCTTGAACCTATAAAACCATTTTAAAAACATATTCAATTCACAGAAGATTAGAAAACAAGGCTCTCTTTTTTATTCATAGTGGTTCCAGCATTATTTTTATAGAAAATGAAATTACACACTAAAATATTTAGTCAACAATTTCAACTTTTGAAACTGGAAACATCCATGAACCTTGGTCTTTTATCAAGAACCTTAGCACCTGAATCCAATAATATGGGTAAACTATAGAATTGCAGAGTAACATGAACTATGATTACTGATAGATAACACTGGAAAACATTATCTACCTTCATCAATTGTGTTACACACAGTAGTAGAGCTATTATATGAATGATGCACCACACAGCCACTGCCATCTTCACCTGCAAGCAATAAAAAGAGAAACGTACATTAGCCTTCAATAGCAAGACAAATAATGTTATGAATATTCACCAGAAATTTTATGAAATGGACAGACATTGAGATGGAAAATACCCTTATCAGGATATGCCTTTGGAACAGATTGGTCACAAGTTCCAATATCAACAGTTTCAGTCTGTTGCAAAAAGGTAGGAAGAATAAGACATATGCTTCTTCAGGAGGAATATACGGGTCACTTTCAATACCAAACTCAATTGCAACAACTAAAAATGTCTCACAGATTGATTGTCATCATTTAGGGACTGCATCAACTGTCTCTTAAATGCTTCCAACTATCAAATAGAGAAAGTATAATATACAGTCAGCTCCAGAAAAAATAAAAAGAAAAAATAGAACATCATTTGAAAATCTAACCAGTTATTTGTTCATATATACAAGGAAAAAATGCAGATATTTTGAAGAAGCCAATGTAACTGGACTTCTAAGAACATAGAAGTAAAGGGGAAAAAAATACAGGGCACACTAGCCAAGATAGTAAGGATGCAGCTACGCATGCAGGGCAAAATCTTGACAAAAGTTGATTTGTGTTCACAAGAAAAGATTACTATCATAAAAAAATAACAGAATTTCCCTTTGCAGGAGGGAAACAAATGGGCAATGAAGCACAGATTCTCCATTTCGACAATTTTAGCTATATATTACAGAAGATTTAGTTGAAAAAATAAGGATCCTCGTTATGAGTTATGACCGTAATGGAGACTTGGTAGTATGGGATACCAAATCCCACAGTGAGTAGTATGGGATGCTCAATAGGGTATCTAAATGGGTTGATTCTTCCATCTCAGCAGCTAGCCTCTAGGGTAGGGTTTTCCATCCCACTTAGGTATCCATCAACTGGTATCAAAGCCTCGTTATCAACGGTTCTGAAGAGGGCTACTTATAGAGGGTTCTGATTAGAAGGAGATCGAGTTAAGTGCTGTGAAGTGCAGTCGTCAGGATGTTGGCTTTCCATGGGGGGCCAATTGATAGAGATTTGGTAGCATGGGATACCAAATTCCACATTAAGTAATATGGGATACTCAATGAGGTATATAAGTGGGTTGGTTCTCTCACCTCAACAACTAGCTTTTGGGGTAGGGTTTCCATCCCACTTAAATACCCATCAAACCACACAAGGTGCTTTTCTTTAACCAAATGTAAATTTTTTCCTAGTTATCATAGTTTTCTGTAGTTATGGGCTATAACATTAGTTTGTATAAAAATTTTCCACGTTATTGCATTTTTTTTTTCATGTAATATACTATGTCAACCAACATATCTTAAACTCTCACCTTTGACAAGTCTCGACTGAGCTTTTTTGCAGTCACTGCCAATTGATCCCTCTCCTGCGTAAGTTTTATCTGCAATATATATATATATATATATAACAGAAAGCATCTACCATCAAGTCTAAAAATTCAAACAACTGATAATTTATCTAATTCAATATATCTTTATTTTACATACACCACCCAATAAACAGACAATTCGAGAATGACACATGTATCAGGCTTCTCGTCCCCCAGCTGTCATTCTACCTTGTTTAGTTCCTTATAAAAAATTAAAGTCTCCAAACCTTTCTGTTTTGCACTAAATCACTACGAAGAACAAAATGCTAGAGTAGGTGTCTGTATGAGTATCTGTATCACAACAGATAATCAGTGAAAATAATTAGTTCCGCCGCATATCTACTTCTTCTCTTCATTTCACAGCCTTTACTCCCACCATGTCCAGTTCGTTACTAAAGATAATTATTATGATAAATAGTTCCGTTACACATCTACCTCAATTCCCACCCCTCCTTTTTCTTTATAGTTTCTTGTGCAAATACAAATACAAGCATTATTATGTGAGTTGAATACAGTCATTAGCTCAACCGCAGACGGGAATATTAATGAACCCATGTAGAATTTCCCGGCCTACTCCAGAACATAATAAGATTTTTTTTTCTTTTTGGAAAAATCAACTTACATTCTCATCAAGAGCGACCTTCAATCTGGACTCAGCTTCCTGGCACGCATGATTAAGACCAGAGACCTTCTCCTCGAGCGCGAATATTATGCGGTCCTTCTCAAAAAGCCTCTCTTTGACCCGACCCATGTCCAACTCGAGCTTCGAAACCCGTGATGCAATCGCGATGGAGGTAATCTTGCGAGCGAGATCAAGCTGCTCATAAGGGTCGGTGGGTATCACCGATAGTATCTCGTCGGGCAGATGGAAATCGGGACCAACCGCATTGTTTAGCCCGTTAACCTGCGACATACGTACTAGCCACCTTCTTCCCTCCTCGCAAACAAGAAAGATTTCAACTTTCCGTTTGATGGAGGTAGGGATTTAGGTTTTTCGATGAATTCGAAGATGGGCGAGGGTTTGGAGCGAGAGATGGACTCCTTGAGACAGTGGCACCACATTTGAATTGTTTGATAATAAGTTAAAATATTGTCATTACAATTGCAAATTTACAATATTACAATAATAAATTAATAATGTGGAATCATAAATCATTGATTTTTTTTTTTGGTTATGTAAAATCATCATTATAATTATAATTATAACTAAACCAACCGTGATTAGGAGTGATTTTTTTTTTTTTCAGAATGGACTAGCTAAATTCTCGTCAAACTTTCCAAAAGAATTTGCCAGGGTTAATGCAAATGAGGAAGCAATCATCGATTTAAACAATTATCAATCCATTAATAATTAACTATTAACTATTATTATTAATTGTTACTCTCTCAAATTTAAAATATAAACAGTTTTTAAAATATCTGCAAGCTAATAAAATGTTCATTCTCAAAAAAAAAATATTATTATTTTACTTTTAAGTTTAATTATTAATAAACTCTATGATAAGTGAAAAATATATTCATATAAAAATTTAAATTAATATTCAAGAAGTAAAGTAAAAAGTTATATATATTAAATTTTTTATATTTTAAATTAAGATCAATTAAAAAGAAATATTTATATTTCAGACCGAAGGGTGTAATTAATAATTTATAAGGCTAAAAGCATGCTAGTTTTGATTTGTTTAATTTTTGAATTTATTATTGTGAGTCCTTGTCCAAATTTAAAATTTGCACGGTTTCCCTCCAAATGGTCACACTCTTACACTTTCATCGTTCAGCTTTATATAATATAGTTTATTTACAACAAAAAATCAAAACAATGGGCCCTCCGGCGTTTAAGGCACTAAAGGTAAAGGCTATTGGATTTTGATTTTTGGTCCATAATGATTTGATATTGACATTACTTCTTGCGCAAAATAAAAAGTAGTTATTACTTTTATAAAGAAATGTATTCTTTTGATGTTGTCAACTGTGACTTAAAAGTTTGTATTTTATTTGTATTATATTCTTACAGAAATTTATGTTATTTAAGTATATTATTTTGGGCTTGGCCCTTTTATTTTCTGAGGACTTCGTTGTTGTTTTTGTCTCTTTTTTATTATATATAATCTGATTCTGGGAAAAAAAATATCTATCAAATAATATGAACTAAAATATGCTAAAAATATAAATGCAGAAAAGTTACATTGGGTCCTAATATTTTGTATTAACTAGCCTAATCCCTAGCATTTATGAGAGAACACAACAATTTTTTTAGCCATAGAACATTTAAAAAATAAAATCAATCAATATATCATCGATCAAAATAAAATGACTAAATATTATTATTTATTTTACTATTTATTATCATTATTTAAATTTACAATATATTTGTACATTATATTTGGAAATTGTTAAATGGGGCAGCTCTCTCCTTTCACAGGGTTACTTTTTCATTTTCTTATTACTATATTGTGGGGTGAAGAAGAGTTTAAGGAAATTAAATTATTTATAGCATGAACATGTTCATAAAATTTATAATTTTTTATATTCACATATATATGCGTGTTTTTGTTTGTTTTTTTCTCAAAATTTTACCTTAATCTAACTCTTTTTCATAAGAGAGGGAAACACATGTATATAATTATTTTAATTTTGGGTTGGAACCTGGACCTCCTCCTAGAGATCACTGTTAGGATAACTATCAGCTATACATGTATGATAACAAAGGCATGTTAATATTGTTTGGTTCGTACGTGGGAGTTTGCATGTACAATCTACAAATTGGAAAGGAATTCAAAAAAAAAAAAAAAACAAAGAAAGAAAGAAAAAGAAAGGAAAAGAAATGTGGAAAAAGCTTTTTCCTACCCCTCCACGCTTCCATTTCTACATAGCATTATGCCAAACAAAATTAAGTGGTACCCCATGCCAAATTATAAAACAATATTAAATTTTTTATCCTAAAATATAAGATAATTTTATAAAAAATAAAATTTTATTAATGATACTTTTTCAATATTACTTGTCAAACAAAAAGAGAATTAAAATGATATTGTAATATAATAATTAATTATGTAGAGACATTTTTAAAAGTTTATATTTTTATTTTAAAAAAAGTAAATGGTTAAAGTATCATTGTTGTATTTTATTAGTATGATTAATATTATCTTAAATTATTTTATAATTTAACATGAAGGGAGTATCATTCAATTCTATTCTTATTGTCATTCTTTTTTTTTTTTCTATCTTTTTAATCCATTTCAATGTAAGAAATATAATATATAAAGTATAAACGAATCTCCCAAGAGTACAAGATTTCCGTTCATTCTTGATCGGGCTAAAACAGAAAAAGAAAGAGAAGAAAAGATATAGGACAAGGCAAGGCAGCTTCCTGAACTTTTTCAATAACACATCAAAACCTAGATAGAATGCCAGTCCACGTGACAATCATTACAAGACGATCATAAACCCCAGCATCCATGCAAGGCATTAATTAATTCCACAATCCTGTATTCAGAGTATGCAAATTCTAATAAAGATTTATTCATATTAATCACAATTTGGAACGCTAAGACAGTTAATCTGGCTAGCTCCATTAGCGTCATTAAGCCAAGTTATACAAATGGAATAACTACTCAGAATAGAATAACGTTGGAGAAATCCCATCCCTCCATTTTCCCCACGATCGCATTGAGGTGAACACATAAGAAAGGCCAAAAACAAGGATCCAGTAAATCAGCAGACAACCATCATTCCTCAATTCAAGTGACTTCAAAATATAATCATCATCACCACCATCATGGCAGTCACTATTATTTCACAGAAATAATCAACAAAAACATTGAAAAAATGGCCTTCTTCAATTCCATCTTTCATCCATATATGCCTCACTATACAAAATTTCTTGTTCACCCATAAGATGAGGACCAGGTAAATAAATAGAACAAGACCACTGATGGTCCAACCAACCAAGTGGAAGAAGTTTTATAGTTATGTCATTAAAGTGAATTTCTTTCGCCAGGAGATTTCAGCACAACTACAACCGACGCATAATAAGCAAGGTAGCCTCAAGCATGATATTCCTGCAAATGCCTTTAATTGTCCCCCTCAGAATGACTGAGCTGGCTGACCTTGTTTCGATCTTCCGCATAATCAAAGGAATAATAAGGGCTATGAGGTCTTCCTTCCAATTCCCTGTCAGGTGAGCTTCCAGCTTTTCTCTTGCGGTTGCCTGACTTGGGTGATTGAAGTCCAGAACCAATGTCATCAAGTGCTGATACCTCCCCTTCTTCAATGGTACTTAGATCAGGTTCAGATGATGCCAAGCTCTTTACTCCCTGAAGATGCTCATCTGCATGATCTTGGTGCCTTCCAAGCAGCAAATTCCCATTATTCGATCTATCTGAGGGTTTAGACCAGATCTGACTCCTATCCTGCTTGTTCTTTTCACTCTGAGCAGCCAATTCAATTCCATCCTCCAGTTCCCTCTCAATGAGATCGTCATCATCCATAACCTCTGTTTTCTTAGTTATATGACCAGATGTTTTCCTTCGTTTCTCTAGTGCTGCCTTTACCCTGTCTCTGTCAATTTTTTTAATAGCTTCTTGAGGTGGCTGCCCAAATGTACTATCCCTGTGATCAGGATCTCTGTTGGCATGTTTAGCATTCAACTCAGCAGCCTCCTTCATCTCACTTCTCTCAACACTGCTTTCTTGCTCTTCCCCGTTACCTGATTGAGATCTCGACTTGTGTTGAGCTTCCTGTAAGTTTTCCTTGTGTGGCAGGGTTTCACACTCAAGATGATGATTACCGCTGGATTCATCTGCCCTGTGTTTCATTTCTCTGCCACCATAATCAGTACTTCTACCATGGTTTGACACTGGAAGCCCCACATGATTACCAGATGACCCAAACACTGTCTTAGAAGCTCCAGGTTTTGAGGTTTCAAGTTTTAAACTCGTAGCTCCAGTATGAGAATTATTGTTTGTGGCTGCATTTTCGTCATTGCTAGCAGGAACCTTAGCAGCAGCCCGATTAGCAGTCCCACTTCCTGTAGCACCTTCAATGTCATTCGAAGGTGGCACTCGGTTTTGTTCATATAGCTCCAACATTTGGTTGCTAACTTCTGCAGAAAGAGAATCAACACAATCGGATCTTTCATAATAATAAAAATACGCAAATAATAAAATGTCATCAACTATTAAATTGATGGCATCTGTTACAAACTGTGCTTTTTATGGGCAAAATTGTCCAAGCACAAGATTCTCCTTCAATTGAACATCAAAATTCTCCACTTGACTACAACCACAAGCAAGAGAAGGGAGGCAAGCGACAGAAAATAAGAAGAGGCCAAAGATAGATAGAGAAGAGGTAGTAGTACTGTTTTTCATTTCTTTAGCCACTAATACTTAAAAAGGGGGCACCAACCCTCCAATTGCCGAGGGGTAACATCAAATTCTTGCCACCAGACCCTCTCCCCATCTGATGGGAGCTTCACCTTAAGGAACTTGGCAGCAAGGAAAATAGCTCCTGCTGCAATATGATGGGGCTGGAATTGCAGGCAAAGACATGTCCGAAGTCTGCATACCCATCCTAATTTCAGGAAAGGAAAATGAAAGGCCATTGAGCATAACAAAGATGGAGTAATCTACATACCCATCATTAACAAAATTCCACGCAACTTGAGCAAGGGCATTTTGAGCAACTTTAAATTTCTTAATAGCCTCAACAAGAGGTTTATAAGGATGGAGCAGATTAAAATCAAAACCTAGAGTTTGAAGGACAATCCTCTCTCCAGCTAAGATCAAGTCTTTCTGCTGTTCGTATACCTCCTGCACCATATTTAGAAGTACAAAGAAATTGCATAAGAAAAAAAGTTACTGGAACAAGATAAAAGCAGAATAAATTTGGAAGAAATAACCAGAAAACTAAATTTACTAATTGAGAAACATATAATAGAAGACAAAGACAAATCCAGTCATTTCAATTTTTAGATTTAACTCTCATGTCAAAATTGATGCATCCAGCCGCCTATGAGAGGTACTAAGTCCTTAATAGGGCCCCTCAATTGGAAATTGAAGTACAAGATAAGAGCATTATCAGCAAAAACAGTCAAGTAGTCAAATCAAACAAATTTACTTAAATAAATAATTTTTAAATAGGCAATTCAACAATAAAAGAAGACATTGGCTGATATGAAAGCGCGAGACAGACTTAAGGGACTTTAAGATAATACCTTTTGTTTGATTCTTTGAGCTGCTTCATGGTCCTTCTTGTTTGTAATTTCATACGAGACAAGAGTTACATCTTTCAAAGGGCGAGGAGTTTCTTCGACTTTCCCAGCAAGAAACATGCACGCTGTTGCAATGGTCTGAAGAAAAAGTTATTAATTAGCATTACTATTCCAATAAATATTATATTTCATGTATTATACTATCACCTCAAACCACAGGTGCAAAAACATGAAATAGATGAAGAACAAGAAGACTTATGACTAAGTACAGAGACATACACACCATAAAAAAGGATATCAGAAAGAATTCACACAAGTTCTGGGCAAAACAAGAGAAGGACGGCGGCAGAGAGCAGGAGTTAAAAAGAACAAGGTGATCTTTAATGCAGAATTTTTACAGAAGAAAAATGAAATAACACCAACAGAAAACTTTAATCGCAAATGGTGGAAACCAGACAATGGATTGTTTGAAGCTCATTTGAGAGCTAAACCGTAAGATTAATAATCTTTTTCTCAGTTGTCAATTATTATTAATCTAAATAACCCACCAAGAGCTCAAACAAGTGGCAAGGTAATTTTTTAATACCAAAACAGAGCCCAACATATAAGAACCAGGCCTTCACAAAATACCATTTGTGTCATAAGAACAACTTCAATATAAATTACAGCCAACCCACTCAAGTCCTACTCAATTAAATTTCACAAGTCGCTTAAATTACTTGCTATTAAGGTTCAATATGTGTGTGTGCATGCACACAAACGCAGAGACATGAGCATAAATAAAAATACTAACACAGTCGAAACACATCAAATTGTTAAAAACACTAATAAAGCATGAATAGAAATGTGTTTTATCTAAAAAGAAAAAAGGAAAAAGGAATATGTTAACAAGTTATAAACATCAGGTCATGGAAAGATTGTTTCCATCATAGAATGACTAATTGAGATGCCTCAAGTAGCCAAACAAGCACAAAAGTCCAAGCACAAGTTTACTACAATTTAGCAGCACCATGTTACATAAGATGTAAAAGGAAACTGCAAAAGAACAAAATAGATCTTCCAATTCATCATTCACATATTGCCACCCATCAACTTTCTCATGAAGAATAAATAGAATAGAATTTGACAGAGCTAAGATCATTATCTTTGTTGTCCCCTTCCATGATTAAAGATTGCCCATTAAAGATAATCTTAGGGAGAAATAATCCATTTAGGCACACTTATGGTTCCAACCCATAACGTAGAGACTCCCATGTCTTAAGAGGGAAGGTATATAACCAACAGGCCACAAGTCAAGAGTCAATGACCACCCAGAATGTTGGAAAATGAAAGAACAAAAACTTTCCCAATGTATCATGCAATAAATCAAACTTTACTAAATCCCTGATTTGGAATACAATAAGGATGAATTTTTTTTAGGGCCGAAGATAAAGATGAAACATTGAAACCTAAGCCTCATATTGATTAGGAGCAAACCAGAGCCAATGAACTAATTGGATATCTGCCTTGGCTTTCATTTCAACAGGTAGAAGACAACTACAAAAGGATTTATTGAATTCTCTAATTTATATCATGCCATCTATTGCATAGAATGACATAACATGAAATTTGTGTGTTAATTCTCAGGATATTCATACTTTTAGGTGCATTTTCCATGATATTTTTTTATTGGTTTTTGACATAATTATATATATTAGGGTATTAGGATATATATATTTGATACATTGGATATTTTGTTATAATTTATTATTTATGGGAAGTTTCACTCAGACTAGGGTTAGGGTTAGGGTCAGGGTTAGGGTTAGAGTCTTAATTAGATAAGGAAAAGGAGTCTACGCAATCTACAAATAGATAGACTACTATTGTGTTTTGCATCTTGGATAATTGAATGAGAATGGTGTTTCCACTATCTCTCTCTGCTTCTCTCTTCCCTTGTTCTCTCTATTCTTTCTTTTCCTCTCTCTATGTCATCTAACATGTTTATAATGAATTAATTCAAGAAAATGAAAGAAATTGCATCTGTCAGGTAAAACTGAATATTGATTAACATACGATATCAGATGCATGAAGGAGAAAACAGTGATATTAGGAAGTGAATGAGGAATAGTTAATCGTAGGACTTTCTCATTAATCTAGTTCTTGTTGTTACTTGCAGTTTTGTTGTTTTATTTCACTATCATCATTCCAATTAACTTCAAATTTCTTTTGTTCAGTTCAAGTCTAGTCAGTTTATTCATTAATCGTTTGCTTTTGATAAATTCTCCAAGGGAACAGCAAAAGCACAAAAATCAGCAGATCTTCTGAAAAGGAAAATTACTCAACAATTTAGTCAAGTGATTGAAGCATTCTCCCCTAAACGTTTGTTTTAGTGAGACATCCAAAAATACAAAAAGTACATCTATTGATGCATTCAATAATGTCTAGCCAATCATCTACCTTATAAGAACAACTATAATGGCTAAAATCATATATATTAAACTTAGATAGGCCAGGGTTATCAGGGTTCAGGGGGGAAAAAGGACCAGCTAGGAGCTTCATCATTAAATACATGCAAAAGCTAGTGATGATTCAGCATATTTCAAATTGGCATTATGAATCCCTAAGCAAAATTGACACCACCTAAATCAACACCATCGTTCAATCTTATCCAGAATTACTTATCCACCCTCCACTACAGTTTATTCTCTCCCAATAGTTTCTCCGCTAAAGCTAAGCAATGAAAAGGAGGAAGATGCCAATATACTCCCTCTGAAACTCTTTATAAGAAACAATTGAGACTATTCTTTTAGGCCTAAATATAAGAGACAACTACCCATTGTCTTCTGCATTTATTGAACATTTCCCATTTTACCCTCATTAAAGGAAACAACTTCCCTCATTCATTAAATCAACAGCATCGTTCAATCTTTTTTGTAGCATGTTAACAAATATTCATTTAAAATTTATAAATTACTTTTTAAATATAAACAACTCAAGCTAGCTTTTTTATGTATTTAAGAAAAAATCCATTCATTAATTTGGAGGTTCATTCCATTCAGTTTTAATACAAAATATTAAAATACTAAATTGAGTAGTGTAATGTTTTAAATAATAATATTCAAATTATTTAATATTTTAATAATATTTATTAAATTTTAATTTAACAAGACTTCAAGGTGCCTAGCGCTTCTAGAAAAAGACTTTACGATGCTCAATGCTCTTGGAAAAAGAGTTTAGAGGCAAATTAAAACCAAAGGACATGATCAAAGTTTTACATGTCACTGTGCGTGAGCCCCACGCATATGCCACGTCAACATATAACAGTAGAGTTAATGGTTCATTAACGAAGGGGATTTTTTGCTCCTCAAAAAAATAGTTCAAGGATAAAATTGCTCTACTTAAAAGTATAGGGTGCCCAACGCTCATAAAAAATAAATACAGAGACAAAATTGAACCTTAACCCTTTATTTAGTTGTTTCTTATAAAAAGATTTGGAGAGTAGAATATTCAGAGCTTCTACTTGTTTTGATATTGTGTGTGTATATATGTTCTTCTCATGCTTTGATAACATAGGTTTGCTTTGGAAAGCTTAGAACAATATTACCCAGATAGATGTGGATCCAAAGCTATATTTTATTTTTTCAAGCATGCCGATTATTTTAAGGGTAGATTGCTTATGATGTAGATTTCTCAAAACGCAAGGTTCTATTAGCAAATTCCTTGACTCTGATGAAGGGCGTATCTATGATGCTATAACTGCCAATCAATGTATTTCCTACCTGTTCTAATTGAATCAATATCTGGTATTGAGTATGAAAATCTATAAGGAGCAACACTATTCATGAGTCATGAACAGTGTGGCTGCTCTCAAATCTCATACAAAGCTTTTTTATTCTTATGATTTTTCTTCACAAATTTCATTGGGCTTCATACAAATATTTTACTCTTACAATCTTTCTTGACATATTTCACTGGGCTCCAAACAATTTCTATTCTTTCTAGTTTCGTTCACATGGGGAAATATATCTAGTACTCTAGTTACAATAATAGAAGAGATTTTTACTTGCAGATCGCAAAGACATAACAAAATACAGTCTCACCTTCCTATCATTCCTTGCAAGAGAATGACGAAGGAAGAATCGATGACAAAAAATTATTGCTGTAGCAATGGTTACCTGAGGCCTGCATCACAATAGAATCAGGATCAAGTCAAGTGATCAATATCAAGATAAATCAAGTTACAGATCTTCATTACTATTTACTTTTTTGACATGATTAGCAGTAAACATGACGTATCTCAGCTACTTTATTTGTAATGTAGACAAACAGAATTACAGATAATTTTGGATATGCAATACGTGAGCTCTCCACAGCTCCCACAGGGAATAATACATTGATGACATAGTCCCACCTTCATCATAATTAAAGCTCGTCAAAACAATTCAATCCCTCTAAATTCACTTCAAACAATGGTGAACCCCTGGACAACTAATCAGTGCAGCAGACAAACCAACTAGCTCCAAAGACTACAAGGTATTGCTGTACTCTTTCTAATTATTAGATTAGAAAGAAAAAGAAATAGCCAAATTGGAGCATAGTTAACTTCTGTTAAGTACTCCCTCTGTCCCAAATTATAAGACAATTTGTAATAAGATTATGCATACCAATAAACCTCAATAATGACACTTTATAAACTTACTTTTGGAAAACAAAACTATAAACTTTCAAAAGTGACCCTATACTCTTAATCATTACACTACAATCATTTCAATTTTCTCTCCATTTGAAAGGTAATATTAGAAAAATATCACTAATAAAACTTCATTTTTGTCAAATTATTTTATATTTTGGGACAACGAAATACCTCCAAGGTTATCTTATAATTTGGCATGGAAGTAGTAGAAAAAATATGGTTTGAAATGTAATTAAACGCCCCCTGTTTTCCATCACTGTAAATCTTTTCTTTTCAATTCTCATCAACCAAATCTTTTCCAATCAATTAAACAAGTTTTATTAAGTATTTAAACAAATATTGCCACTGCCAATATCTCAGTTGACCAAAAAGAGAAAAGAAATATACAATGAGGTATTATAAATATGAATCATAAACCAACTCAAAAAGTATTCAATGCACCTGAGATAGACACCTAAATACCGGATAAAAATATGGAAGAGCTCACAATTTAAGTCTCATGCCTAAATCTTGTAGGAACGTGCAGTATGATTTACGAAAGTACATCTCTTTCTTCCAATCTACGCCATCTCGTTTGGATGGTGAATTTTCTTCAATCTCCTTCCTAGTAAAATACCAACCAGGGCCATGCACTGACATCTCAGGGTGTCTTTGGAAACCATGTGTTCCATTACAAGTGACATCACCCGGCAAAAAGCCAGCCATGAGTTCACAAATGACAAAATTTAGTTCAGACTGTTGTATATGTATGAAGTACCACAATGTGATGATCAATAACGAAGATCCAGTTGTTCCCTGCCCATTATTTGCATTGGTGAGACACAATTCATATGCAGCAAAAAGAGAAAATATCCCCAATGATGTCAGTTAAACAGAATGCTAGCATGCAATCCCTCACATTTCTTTATCAGTATCTTCTTTTATATGCTTTTAGCATGCAATCATATATGGTCAGATCTCAGACAGCCATTTTTAGTACGAGATTAGCAGTCCTTCTGCTCAAATGGCCATCCAAAATTGATCTCCTAATGCCATTATTATAGGTTCCCATTAGATGTCCACAGCATACACTCTTGAGTCACGACATGAAAAAGTTTTCAAGTATTTTTTTAAGTCAAGCATAATTTGAGCCCAATCTCATAGGTCCCATCAGCCCATGGTAACATAAGGCATTTGTTAAAAGGTATAAAACAGGTAGGAAGGCAAAAATTGAATTCACTCATTCAGTGCACTAGTTTTCTTAACCATTTTTTTTTATTTCCTATAACATAGAAACACCACAAAAAATGAAAAACCATACGCTTAACAATCACAGTATTTCTCTTTATTTACCCATTATCGGAAAAGGAACTTTTAGGGGAAAGGATGTGAAATTAACAATGAATATAATATATATATATACTATCGCTGTGTATGATCAAAATTCAAAGAATTTAACTTGCCTACAAGGCAGCTTCAAACCCACTATCTCAAACCTAGGAATATCCTTTCTTACATTAATCGTAGAAATTACACATAATTTCAACAACACAGTATATTAGGCCCAAAAATCAGTTCATTTTCCTCTGCATTAAGCGATCAGTGATAACAGGAAAAATTGAAAGCACGCTGTCAAATAGATTTAGAGCATGGGCGCAACCTAGCAAGGTCCCAAATCATCATTATTAAATTAAAACAATTCTAGTCACCAATACCGTCTTGGGATCCTAATTTCCTAGTACAGTTGTCCCGTTCATGGGCGCAGCACCATCAATCGAAACCCTAATTTCACTCACTTTTATTTGAAATGTAACTCAAGTAAAAAGCCACGACACTCAGGTGGGCAGAATCGAGTAAGGTGTAGGTAGAAGTCCAAAATTCATAGCCTCCGAAATTGAAATAAAAATTGGGGGGGGGGGGAGAAGGCAAATGAACGGATAATAATATTATAAATAAAAAGATTACCTTTCAACGTACGAGAAGATTTCAACGACACGATACAAATTCAAACAGCAAGCATTAATCCAAGATCCAAAATCAAGAAGCGCGCTTTACAAATGGAATTACTCTGAGGAAGCAGAAAATCGAAGAATGGCAAGCATTACAATTCACATGGATGTTCGAACTAGGGTTTCCAGCAGCGTCAGCGGGGCCAACGAAAAGCAGGAAAATGAAGGATTTATTTAATTATGCGGATTTCCATATATCCGTTTTATAGTTTCCTTTCACATACAATTGGTCCCTTTCATTTTATTTTTTGATAACGAGTAATAAGAGGATCCAACAATATTTGATTAAACAAAAATATTAAAAATTAATAGGCAGGTAAATTGAACAATTGGAAATTCAAAGCGGGCTTCAGTTTGACATCAACCGTACGGCCGTACCCATTCTGGCTTGGTAAGAAAGGGAAATGACATTGCAGGACCTGCGAGACAAATAACTCCGTTTAGAATCAGATACTCGGTTCGTTTGGGTATCTGCTAAATAAAAATTAATTATGAAGAAACTTATTCACATAATTATTTATTATATATAAGTGATTATATTTAAATATTATTTTAAAATTAATTTTGAAAAAATTGAGATATTTGGATGATTTTAATTAAAAACAATTTTAAATATGTAAATTACTAAAAATGAGATGAGTTTTATAGCTTAAATATTGATACGGGTATCTCGGATATTATTAAGTTTGTTTTTTTCTATTTAATAAATAATATATATTATTTCTTATTTCTTATTTAATATAATTTAAAGTTGCAGCAAGAGGTCACACTCATTTTGCAAGAAAGAAAAGTGACGTTAATAGAAGGTAATTAGAAATCACGAGCCACATAGAGATGTATTTGGTATAACATTTGCCTTTTTTTTCACATACAAAAGATGACAAAGTTCACCTAATAAATAATACTAGATTTATCCATTCACTAAAAGGCAAAGCAACTAAAAGTAGGTTTTATCATAGTGTGGAAATCTTTCTCTCTATATTGAGCATTTTTGATTAAGAAGTCGGCCACGTATAGATTTTCTTTATTAGAATAAAAAACCTCCACTTCCGAATTAGAGAACAAGAAGTTATGTGCTTTAATAATATCTTATTGTCGAGAGTGCGCCAATCCTCCCCTATTCCAAAACAGGTGAGTGCTTTTAGAGAGTTCATATGACACTGAATTTATTTAATAGGAATTGCCAATTTAGACCTGAGATAAGAGCAAAACATTCAACTACAACAGGGGGAAAGAAACCCAATCGTTTTTGAATTCCCAGATCCAATTGCCCAATGAGTCTCAAACCACTCCTCCACATGTGGCATGATTTTGTTGATTGACCGATCCATCTACATCTAATCTTAAACAACCCAACACTAGTGGTCTCCATCTGTCTTCTATTTCCCTCATGCTATGAAAAATGTTGTGCTTGAGTTGTTTATTCTTGATGACTTCATTAAGATGATACATTGAGTTATGATATATGTCGAGCTTCAAGTCTTGTCTCCTCCATTACTCCTTTGCACCTATTTTTCATAGTAGCCAGCAGACAATACAAAAAGCGTTCAACCATGTTTGGTGTTGTTATATCTCACACCATAATTATTTTGCACATTTGCTTTAATCCACACCTGCAAATTAAAAGAAAAAAAAAGATTGGATATGTAAAGGGTTAGTAACAAATGCCCACACATTTTTGCAATCTCACAATCTCTCAAAAAATGTATAATAAACTCCTCATTAGAACACCCAAACCAGCATGTTTCACACAAAGAAAGACCTCTCTTAGCTTTGAGTGAGTAAGTAAGGAGCTTCTCATGAAGAACTTTCTAGAAGAAATGTTTAATCTTATCAAAGATGGACCAATGCCAAAGTTTCCTCCACAACAAGTCCCTATAATCCGTAGAATTCTACAAAGAGAAATAAGTTGATTTGACATTAAAATTTTCATTAGAAGAAGCCCTCCAAGTGAAAACAACCTTTAAAATTGCCATTTGATCGTTTAACCATACTTATTCTCTTGACAACCCATGGATGTAGGCATTTATTCCATTCCATCGAGTTCCATTCTTCACTAGATTGAACAAAATGATCCACTATAGATGTGGGGTTCAAAAGATAGCGATTCTTGTTAACATACTATATTAAGGGGACTCCAAGAGGTGTCTATAAATCTCACCATAATTTTATAGTTTTATCTGTGGATTTTCCTACCCACTTTGGATAAGAAGTTATCTTAAACATCCACAATACTAGTTTAAACATGAGAAGATTTTTTCTTTTTCATGACAAAAAGGTGCAAATTATCCCCACATTTGTACTTGGCTCTCAAAACTGTCACCCAGAGAGCCTTAAGCTGGTCAGCAACCACAATTTCATGATAAAACCGACAGTTTGTTTATGAAGGTCCTTAAAGCCTAACCCTCCATCATATTTTTTTTTTTTTAAGTATCCCAAGCCATAAGATGCATTTTTCTACCCTCTTCCCCTTGATTCTAATAAAAAATTCCTGCTAATCTTGTCAATCTCATTCAAGATACCTTTAGGAAAGAGGGTGGTTTGCATTAAATAATTGGGCATAGTAGAGAACAAAAACTTAATTAGAATAGCTCTACCAATTAAAGAAAGAAAATTTACCTTTTCAAGAAGATAGTTTACTGTGAACTTTTTGAAAAGTTTGACACATCATTAAAGCTAAACGTGAAGAATTAATTTGTGGAAGCTAGCGAGATGAGCTTCTTTGAAAACGCAGTTAAGGATGTAAAATGTGGTAATGGAAAAAAGAGGGTGATTGGGTTCCCCCCCCCCCCGGAGACAAAACCGTGGTTAGGCTGCCATTATTGCCATCATCTCAATTATAACCATTGTTGCTGACACTAGTTATTTTTCTTTTTTTTTGTTACATACATGTATCTTTCTATAAAAAATAATTATGTATGAGGTATGATTAAGTATTAAATATAGCTGTTTCCTTAATGAGAATTCAAATTTTGATTCATGGCATTGTAAAATGTTATTTTTTTGATTAGATCCCCTCTGTGGATGACATTTAAGTGGTTTGATTTTTAATTTGTTAAAAGTTAATTTATTAAATGCTTTTTGGGATTTTATTTAGTTGGTTTAAACTATAGTTTGTAGGATTAAAAGCTAGTTAGGGGTAAAAAAAACCATGTTTGGGTGAGAACAGTTAGCAAATAAGCTTTTTTTTTTCAAATATAATTAGGCCAAAGCTATATTTTGAAGCTTTACATTAGTTATTTAAAATCTAACCATTAGAAATATTTGATGCATTTAACATTTATTGAATAACCTATTTATCCTTTCATATTTCCTTTTTAAGATTGATATTTTTAATATATACTTTATCTAGTCTTATTTATAAGTTATTTATACCAATTCCATCAATATTAATACAACAAAAGTATAAAAAATAAAAGTAAGTGAAATTTCAAACATAATCCTCAAGTAAAAAAATAAAAGTAAATAAATCATATAATATTACTCTCTCTCTCTCTCTCTCTCTCTCTCTCAATTTTTTCAATAATAGTTTGGAGATTTTAATTTAAAATAAAACAATACCATTAATTATTGACTTATAAAATAGATCAAATTGTGCTTCTAGAAGGCACCTAATATACAAGACAAGAGGGTGTATAAAATTTATTTTTTTTGTTTACATTTATATATATATATATATATATTTATTTATTCTTTAAATAGATCTCTATGTTTTTTATTATTTAAAGATATTCTCTACCATTGTTAAAAAATATTTTCTACATTAATACATTAACTCTTTTATTTTTATAATTATAATTATAATTTCAACATTTTTTTTTGGATTTATCAAATTGAGTAAGAGAGCAGACACACAACCTATGTCCTTTTTGGGTTTTGTCTTATAGCCCATATCCTTTTTAGTTATTATATATTTAAACTTACTATTTAATTCTACATATAAATAAGTGTCAATTTGTCAAATTAACTTTTCACATAAGAATATTCAAATATAAGTTTTATTACAATAACTCATTTTTAACTCAATTTTAATTTGCAAACTGTAATTTGTGCAAAATGTAGTTATGCAAGCATTAATCCAAACAAACTTTAAATTCATTTGATAAAAATTAATTTGATAGAAGTTAGTTAATGTGATGAGATTTATATTTAGATATTTTTAAAAAATATTTAATAAACTGAAAGTTTTTTTTATTGATATATAATGAAATGCAGTTTTAAATGTATAATTACTAAAAAAGACATATATTTTATTATATGTATTTTTGTTAGGTAATAGAACTTGATTTGTTAAAAATATGTATAGATAATATAAAATTTGATATGGTAAATAATATATGTAATAAAAGAATGTCTAAATAATATAAAATTTAAATTTAAATCATGACAAGATCAAAATTAATTGTGAAATAACAAGATCAGATTTATAATATTTCAATTATTGAATAACTCAATAATCATATCCTTAAAAAAAAAGTCATATTATGCCATTTGTTCACTTAGCATGAAGAAGGTGCACTAGAAGAAAGTTGGTGTTCACTTGTGATAAGAAAATATAAGGGAGAATTATATTAAAATCTCATATAAAAAAATTAATTACTACAAGGTTAATTGACAACTGAATTAAGAAAATTGACAACACAATTCTTAGTTCAGTTGTTAATAGATTTTGTAGTAATTACTTTCTTTCTGTGAAACCTGTATGTAATTCTCTCAAATTATAATTATGGCTACAAGAGCGGTAATATGGGTAGTTAACAAATTAAGTATACTCATTATGCAAATTGAAAAATAAAAGTTACTTTGAATAGCATTGTGAAAAATTTGAAAGGATGTTAGATAGCTTTTAGAATGAATTTTTAAAGATGAGCTTTTGAAAACTTGATTAAAACCAAACAACTTTTTCATTTTACCAACCTACCAAGGTCCTTTTAGAACATGGAAAGCTTTAACTAAATGCCCTAACCATTTTTTTAAAAAATATAATTAGTTCATTATAACTAAAAGTTATTCTGAAATTATTTCAAAGCCCACTTGAAATTTATCTCGTCACTAAAGGAACGAAAAGATTTAAAAAATATTTATATAAATTACAAAATAAAAACTAAATTTTCATATTAAAAAGAGAATTGTGTATAATTATCAATCATTCATTTGTGAAACAGATGGAATGAAGAGGTGAAGTGTTTTTTTTTTTTAATAATTATTTCCCCAAAGGAAGAAACTCACGTACGCTTTCATTGCATTTACAGATGATCGAACTCGCAACCTCATGTTCAAGAGAAACTTAAAAAAAAAACAAAGAAAAGAAAAAAGAAAAAGGTACTTATTGCCATTGAGTCACAAGGCTACTAACGAAGATCAGGTGGAGTTAGCTGTAAGATTTCAGCGCCAATCACAATAACAAATATCACGGTGCTTATTGTTATAATGAGACTTGAAGCATCTGACTTACATTTTAACCATTTAAATTTAAAGTTTTTACTTATATTTTTAAATAATAATTTGTAGTTATACGGTTATCTTTGCTTCGAATTTTCTCTAGATATTAAAATATAAAATAAACTAAATTTGAGCGTGGACTCTATAATTTTAATCTGAGCACGGACGCTGAATCCAAGACAAATGAATGCATTTTTTTAAGTTTGCTCCTTCAGTTCCATTAGAGAGTGCGAGCAGTCTGTCAAAAAAAAAAAACGAAAAAAAAGAAAAAGAAAAATAAAAAAAAAGAAAGAGGACAAGCGACAAGTTCATTCACTCCAAACACCTTATCCTCACGCCCGTGTCAGACGCCCTCTTCAATGCTTCCCCCCTTCTCGTGTTACTCGTCTTTCTTTCATTTCTTGAAATATTTTTCATGTTCTTTATAACTCACTTCTAATTCATCAATGTGGACTAGCTTTTATAAATATTAAATATTTTTCTTTGCAATATTTAAAATCTACACAAGCCTCTCATGATCATAATTCAGTGGCTAATAGTTGTGTTTAACCGTGTATCTATCCTGATTAGCTCAATTTCATTCCCATCACATGAGGATGGATCTTTCCTTATCTAAAAAATCAGGACAGGACACTGAATTACTCTCAAGACGTCCCATCCCGTTTCAAATATTATATATATATATATATACATACATATATATTATTTTTTATTTTAAAAATATACATTAATTATATTGATATAATTTATACTTATATTAATTATAATTTCAATAATGCAATTGCTATTTAAAACAAAATTTTTTTATATTAATAATTTTAATGACATAGAGTACGTAGTACAAAATAATATCTTTCTTTATAATATATTAATTATATTAATACAATTTATTCTTATACCTATTTATTTAATAATTTTTATTTATATCATATTTTTTGTTTTATTTTCAAAAGAGTCACTAGCTTAATATATCTCAACTAAGGAACAAGGATAATAATTTAATATTATACTTAGCTTGTCTGTTACTATTATTCTTGTAGCCTAGACATTACTTATAATTGATATTATAATGTGTTATGTCTCATGTATACTTGACTTTAAGTTGTACACTTTGTATTTGTGATTAATGTAATTTAATATTGGACTTTAAATTGTTGTAATTTATATGCTTGTATTGTTTTAGTTTTAAACTTAATAAGTTATGTGATTAAAAATTCTAATGAATGTTATCATTCATGCATTTTTTCCATATCGTCTGCTTTAATAGGATGGCAGGATATTCCATCTTGTTTCAATTCCTAACAGGATGGGACGAGATACAGGATAAAAATTCAGTTCCAATTATTTTTTGAGACAGAATATGAAATAAGGGTGTCTTAGTTCCGTTCTGTGAACACCCTTAGTGGCCAGTATACCATATAAGGCTCCCCTTAGAAGTCAAGAAAAAATTAATCAACAGCTACTTGTGAACTCATTCACACACACAGACTCTAGCCACTATTTTTTCTTCCAAACAAATTTCATTGAATGCCCTCATTTAAAATTAACCTCTTCTCCTTGTCCTTTTTACTCATCTTTCTACATGTGACAGGTGAAACTCTAAAAGAGTGGCGGTAAACATGCCAACATACTTTGCCAAAAAGACATAGTTTGGGTACAATAATTATCAAATAAAGCATCTAGTTAGCATTGATGTTCACAAGTATCTTTCAGGGTAGTAATGCCAATTGCCAAGTTCCATTTAATTTCCCACGACTCAACAATACATGTGAAACTTTCAAAACATTGCCGTGGATCATGTGAAATACTGCAGATGTACTTATCCACTCACATTTATAAGAATCTCTTCACTTACTCAGCTATTCAAACAATGCCGTAATCTTTCATAGTGCTTTTGCCTCACTGCTGCAAAATATGAAGTTTATCTGCCTTGGAATCCACAAATCTTTCCTACTTCTGGTTATCTTTGTGGTATTTTCCCATGGTTGGAGTCTCAGAGAGATACGTAATCATGGTAAGTGTTACTCTAGTTTTTTTTCTTTAACGTAACTGGATGCATACTAAATGTTATCTATATCAATATAAGTTACTTTATGCATGCAAATAGATATTAATGCCAAAACAGTACTGCCACTTCGATTTTATATAAAAATACCAGATTGGTATACATTTATCTTACATTTTTTGTATCTTGGATTTTCATGGAACATGACACGATATATCCTTCCTTTCCATTTTACAGATGCATTTGTAAGCCTGCAAGAAGAGAAAGCTGCAACTAGAGATAAGGTTCGTTTCCATCAGTTATTTTATGTATCCAAATGTTTCTGAAGTCATTGCTCTCCTGAAATAGCAGTCTTTGTTGATAACTTCTTGATAATATAAGCTTTAAAATTTCAGTAATCTTCATTCCAGAGGGTGTGTTTAAGACTAACTCAAATTATTAATTATTGATGAACTCTAACACTAACAGAGATTATGATAAAACTGTACTTATACATGCATGTCACTTACAGAGAAAGTCCCCTGTAATTTGTAGGAAGAGGTGATGTACCCAAACGGGTCGAGCTTGCCCGATTGCTCCCATGCATGTGGGGCATGCTTTCCCTGCAAGAGGGTGATAGTGAGCTTCAAGTGCTCTGCTGCAGAGTCCTGCCCTATTGTTTACAGATGCATGTGTAATGGCAAATACTACCATGTCCCTTCCAATTGATCATGCCTGTTCCTATAGAATCCAATCTTACTCGCAAGCCTTATGTTATTCTAATGGTAACTGGCGTTCAGTCTCCTATGTGTTGAACAGGAGCGTTTTCTTATCTGTAATACTTTAAAGTATTATTTCTCATATCCAATATAGCCAATATGTGTTCACTTCATTCTCATTTCTCTTACGTGAGAATCCATAGTGAAAATCAATAATTCAGTTTCTTAGTATTCATAGTATTTAAATTATGCAAAATCACTTGAAAAATTCTCGGTTTCATATAACTACCAACTAACAGCTGAATCTATTCATGCATTAACATACCCCATATATATATATATGTTAAACATGTCATTCTAATTTCAAGTACTTTTGTTATGTGACTAATTTCAAGTACTATGATGTATCACCATGCTAGCAGTACTGTAACTACAATGAAAACTAATAATCTCATAATAAATTATTTTAAAAGAAATTAAAATGTGATATTATTATATTAGAATGACGTTTTTAGTTATTTGAAATGTAACAATGTTAACCTTCAACAGGACTAAATTTTAAAATCATGCTTGCTCGTTCAGTCATGGCTGTCACGCCACTCCCCATGGCCAAAAAAACAAAACAAAACAAAAGATGTCACTTGTACATCCTCTATGACATTAAGTAATATAATAAAATAGAACTACCCTATATTAATTGCTCCCCTCATATCATCTAAGAAAATTTCATTTGTACCCTGGAAAAAAATCAATGTACAGGAAAGATTACCTCTTCACTTTATCTTCTCACTTAATAAAAAAGTAGATGAAACAATTATTTTCAGGCAAAAGCTATAACAATATGTAATGAAGTTATAAAATAATTATTTGCATCAAAAGCTTAGAGGCCATGAATCCGTGTAGTTAATTCCACCAATGCATATCCTCACACAAGGCAAATTGAAACTAAATTTCACAAATTTGGTATATAATACCAATAAAATAAGGAAAAATTATGAATAGGTCCCATGGAAGCAACTTATTTAAAAATAAGTCCCATGAAATTTAAAAATTACAGCTAAATTTTTTGAACTTGAGTGTAATTTACAATTGAAATAGAAAGACAACATTGCCCTTGTTAAAATAATCAAATTGTTGCAGAAAAAAAACTCAATCTCTCCCTCTCTCGCGATTACTCTGCCCTAGCTGTCGCCCCTTGCTCGCTCATTACTGAAGGTGAGCCATGCACCTTGACTGAGAGGAAGATGAATGATGTGTGAGCCTTGCAAATGATAGAGGTGAAGGCGATGAAGGTGAAGGGGAGCGAGGAATCTTACTGAACCCAGAGGAATATTGAAACATCTTGAGCTGGTAATATGTTGCCCGCTTTTTTAGATTATTCCGGGTTGAATAATCTCAACTAAGCCAAATGATAAAATAGCATGTTTAGAGGCTTGATGTTAGATGTATTGTGCAGGTCACTTGTTCCCCATTATTATCTTTTAGGCCTACTATTCTATCTATGTTGATACTTTAAGATTCTATATTTCAATATTTCTTCTATATTAGCATCAAGAATTTATACTCTAATGGGCATATTATAATTTGATAGAGATTTCTATTGATATATTTAGAACACTAATCTATGCATAGAAGCTTTTCTCGATAAAAAATCACATGTTTGTTTGGCATAATGTGACTCACTTCTATTTCAGTTTAGTTTTTAAAAAATCAGATCATATTAATCAGATCATATCAAAGACCTCGAGACTAGATTATGACTAGATTGGTTAGCAAAGAGAATGTTTTGTAAGCCTTATAGGACTTAATTTGTGAATGCCTAGGCTGTTCAGAGGGACCCACAGTTTTACAAGTATGGGAAAGGCCTAAAGAGTTCATTCCAGAGAGATTTAAAAAGAAGAAGATTGATTTCAAAGGACAAGACTTAATTTGAATATATCCCATTTTGTTCAGGAAAAAGGATATGTCCTGTGTGTGTCCTTTATTTAATTTGTTCTTGTGATGCGATGTTGAAAAATGCTAAATAAAATGTGATGCTGTTATGAAGTTGAATATGAGGTTTGGGTAATTGAAAGTGGAAACGTCATGTTCCATATATGTATTGTAATTAGTGTTCCTAACAAATGAATGTCACATCAAGCATGTGGAAATTTTATATTTTACAAGTAAAACTTCTTAATTCACAGGTCATATTCCTTGTTCTATAACTAATATACTAATGAATTTGTGTTTATGCTACACAATTGTTTGCCATTCGATTACAATTGAAATTTCATATTTTACAAGTAGAACTTCTTAATTCACAAGTCATATTTCTTATTTTGTAACCAATATACTAAAGTACTTGTGTTTATGCTTCATAATTGTTCGCCATTCGCTTACAACTGAAACTCATATTTTACGAGTAGAACTTCTTAATTCACGAATCATGTTTCTTGTTTTGTAACTAAAATACTAAAGCACTTGTGTTTATGCTCCACGATTGTTTGCCATTCACTTACAACTGAAACTTCTTATTTTACAAGTAGAACTTAATTCATAGGTCATATTTTTTATTTTATAACTAAAATAATATAGCAATTGTGTTTATGCTTCACAATTGTTTGCTATTTGCTTACAACTAGAACTTGCTATTTTACAAGTAAAACTTTTTAAGTCACGAATCAAATTTCTTATTTCACGAACTCAAGAACTTTACAATCAAAATATAGAAATTGATAATCTTTCACTAACACCATCATATATGATCATAATAAATTCAAAGAAAAAACATTTTAAAATTAAAAATGAACTAGTTAAGTTCTAGCTTGTTAGGTCATGTAGGGTTAGGATTTTGACATGTCCTACGTGTGTGGCCATTCTGTCGACATCTTGTACAATGATAAATCTTCTTGCCTTGTGATTGAGACTCTCTTCTCACTGATTGGGGCCAACCAGAAGGACGAGAGGTAGTAGGGGGCCTCAGGAAGGTTTCTGTTATCATCTTGGTAATTGTTAATGCATTTACTTGTGGCATGTCATTTATCTTGATGGGGATTATTGTGTCCTTATATATTTTCTCTTGAGATCTCAAATGGTAACATCCTTCCACATAAGAGTACACATTACCATGAACCTTTTTTATAGTTGCACATGCATAGGCACAAGGGATCCTAGACATCTGCCAAGCTTGGCATGTACATTCTCTAAGAGATAGGTCAACCTGTAAATGAATGTCTCTTGTCTTCACACCCAGCAAGTTACCTAAATGATGGTTAGCTAACATTACTTATGCCTATGCAACATTAGCCTTCAACTTTCCCTTAATGTTTGGCCCAACACCATTTTGTCACTTGCTCATAGCAACTTTGTTTGCATACATCTTACTCACAAGCTTTTCTTTATGTTCAAGAAGTGGTGTGACCACACTATGTTTCCTTTTTTTAACTAGCCAAGCATTGAAAGATTCAAATAAATTATTAGTTATGTTGTCCCACATACGAAAAGGGAATTTTGACAAGGCCCATCTATTAATGTCACCATTAGTTTCTAACCATTGAGCCAACTCTAGACAAAAAGCTCTCAAGTTTCCTATTGCCCTATTAAATTCAAGATCAATTCTAGCATATGCTATAGCATTCAACAACTTCAATGCATCCTCCTTGCTTGTTGTGGTAGCTTTTCTACCACATCTTCCAATCTTTACAAACTCTGAACTAAAATTTTCTTTGATATGTTGATAGCAAAATGCTTGTCTATCTCCTCCAAAAATAGCTCCCACAGCACCAATAATTGCATTGTGTCTATCAAATACAATAGTTACTTCTAAAGACCCCATGATATCTTTCAAGTTATGCATGAACCAAGTCCATTCTTGTAACTTCTCCCCACTAACTATTCCTTTATATGGCCTGCTCAAGTGGCATCCGTCAACATACAAAATAGGTCTGCAACCATTTAAAAAGCCATTTTTATGCAACAACTGTAAGCAATAAACAACCTCTCGAACCTATTATCTTTATAAGCAGTCCATTTTGCTATTATCCTTAGATCTTTCTAAGTCAATTTTTGAAAAATCCATGGAATCAACTTGTATGAATCTTCAAAAGCACCATGCAACTCCTCCATTGCTCTCTCTTTTCCCCTGTATGCCTGGCTATAAGTAAGGGTAAGCCCTAATTCTTAGTACAAGTCCCATATAATCTCGTTAGGAGTTTTGTCAACATTTGACTTTAGTTTATCAATTATTATGGATGAAGTTAGATTTACATTAGCCTTCTGTTGAATAACTAATGTATCTTGTGCTGAGTGTACATGCTCATTATATAATGATGTTATCCTCAATACATGACTTGTTTTAGAAATGGCATATGCACTCACTCTCCATTTGCACCCATCTATCTTGCACTTTGCAATAACATTTTTTGTGTTATTTTTCACAAAACTATAACAAAACTTATTTCTAATGCTAAACTTGTAAAGTACTTGTCTAAATTCTACAGCATTATGGAACATTTGTCGAGTTCCATAAAGTAAATCTTTCCATTTCAAAGCATTAAGCTGGGGCAATGGTGCTGGTGCAGTGCTCTTTGAAAGAGGTATCGATTCAGGTTCATGGTTGAGTTCATTCAAGCTAATTGAATACCCACCAATTTGTGACAATTTGTAATAACAAGCAAATATCCACCAATTAAACCACAATAATTTCTAAATGATGTTAAGTAAATATTACAACTTACCCTTCATGTGACTTGATTACTATGTCTATATTACTAACATCATTGCCAATAATATAAACATGGGCAGTATCGTCATTGAATTCTATCAAATTAGCAACTCCTTCATCATGTTCAAGGTCAACTAATGTGTTCATTTTAGGTTTTATGGTATACTTCATCTCCAATATATTTGTTTCCAACCCAATACATGATCTTATAATTCTTTTCAACTCTTCAAGTATTGTGCCTTCATTAATTGCTCTTCCTTTTGCCCTCCCACCTTTTTAATGTATACTCCTATCTTGATTCTTCACCATTTGCCCTCCAATATGAAAATAACAATATACTCATTTACATGAAGAACTTGCCATCATACACGTGTACTTGCTGAATATTAATATCGCCATTATCTTCTCAAATCAACAAATTTTAAAATTAATTATTTACAACTACTTTATCGATAATTTATAACAAAA